TCCCTACACACCAGCGATAAGGCGGTGTTTCTTCTGCACAACAGCCTAAGTCTTTGCTCAGACACAGGTCCCACACACCTATGCCCTTGTTGATGGTATTAAGTGTGGCCTAGATTGCTTTTCTTTTGCCTAAAAGTATGTCCAGAACTACTGAAGAGCAATAACATTGTTCTGAATCATTTGCCATGGAAAAGCTATCTGTATATACATACAGTCACTTGAGTAGATGCGGCTGAATGTGAGCTGGCAGTGTGCCCAGGTGGCCAAGAAGGCCAACAGCATCCTGGCCTGCATCAGAACAGTATGGCCAGCAGGGTTAGGGAAGTGATTGTCCCTCTGGACTTGGCAATGGTGAGGCCACACCCAGAATACTATAGTGAGGGGCCTAAAACTGAACACAAGAAAGACACTGAGGTGCTGGAGTGTGTCCAGAGAAGGGCAATGGAACTGGGGAAGGGTCTGGAGCACAACTCCTGTGAGGAGCGGCTGGGGGAAATGGGGGTGTTTTGCCTGGGGCAGGGAGGGTCAAGGGAGACCTGATCCTCTCTGCAACTACCTGAAAGGGGGTTGCAGAGAGGTGGGTGCTGATCTCTTGTCCCAGGTGACATGCGATAGGCCAAGAGGAAACGGCTTCAAGTTGCACCAGGGCAGGTTTGGATTGGATATTAGGAAAAATTTCTTCACCAAAGGGTGGTCAGGCGTTGGATCAGGCTTCCCAGGGAAGTGGTTGAGTCACCATCCCTGGTGACTATTAAAAAAGATGGTCCCTATTTAAAAGATGTGCAGATGTGGTGCTTAGGGTCATGGTTTGGTGGTGGACTCGGCAGCATTAGGTTAATGATTGGACTTATGACTTTAAAGGTCTTTTCACACCTAAGTGATATTAGTGAAAAAAAACCCAAACCCTATTTAAGTCCCAGTGCAAACTAGAGCAGAAACGAGCATTAGACAGGACAAGCACAGGTAACTGGTTAAATGGACAGTGTGTCCCCCTGTGCACGTGTTGATGAAGAAGTCAAGTAGCCTGCAGCAGTACCGTGCTAATGCCGTATCATGCTGTGGAAAGCGTCACCTTTCAGCTGTGAGAGGAAATTCTGAAGGGTGGATCACAGTCTGTGATCTCACCGAAAGTTCTGTTTGGTGTTAGCAGCCTCACACCACCAGCTTGTTCCACGGTACAGGAGGTTAGCCTAGCTTTTTAACTGACTGGATATTCTCATTCTCGGCACTGAATCTCACAGCCAATGGCTACAGCTGCCTGATGCAGAAGCAGGAGTCAGCTGACGCGATTCCTACTCACCTCTCTCTTTTTCGCCGAGAATCTCTGTCTTTGCCTCTTTCGCGACTCCTTTTTCGTTTATTTGGGCTCCTGCTGGTCTCTCTCCTGTGCCTGGTGCGTTCACTATCCTTATAGCTTCCCCCAGACTGCCGTGATTCCACTGAAGCTGACCGCCTGTCTTCCCTTCTGGAAAAAAGGTTATTTATTTTATTCAATCAAAGTTTTACAGTCACTATTGTTTTCAGTACCAGTTTTGTAACGTAACGACCTACTAACGGTACAAGACAGAGGATATATCATTTTATGTCTCCTTATCTCCCCACTAAATACAATATCTCCCAAAACAGGCCCAAAGTCCACACTCTTGTACGTGCACGTCTCGGCCCACTGTTTAATCCAGACAGTTCTTACAAACGCTGCCCCGTCTTACCACCTCTGCTCATGAAACAGGAGGCAGTAGAAGGGGTCTGCTCTGCTTGGCTTTAAATCCCTAACTCCTCAACCACCTGCCTGAAGCTGCTACCTACAGCTGGAGAACCCCCCAGGCCTGATCTCCTGTGCTGCCTTTTCATTCGCCTTCGTTTTACTGCTGAAAACAGATACCGTGAGTGTCATCTTTCAGTTTGTTTCAGGAACATTTTCACCTCAAAGGTCTCCTGAAGAGGTACAAACAGACCATCACTAGGTCACAATTCCATTTTTATTTCAGTGACAAATGTTTGGAAGGGTGTGCAGCACTGCTCGACACAAGAGCAAGTATGTGAACACAAAACACTCTCCCAGCTAGCACAGCAACATTCACTGTGCTAAGAACTGGAAAGTTCTTAGTAAGTTACAAAAACAACTTCTCTTACGTATTTTATATTACAGTGTATCTATCACAGCACTTTCTGTCATGTCTACTTGTGTTTTCAAACATCATTCTGTCCCCACCTATCCCATGCATGTGCACCTGGACACAGAGGGAGCAGTAGTCATTCCCTAGCTCCACTAGCAAGGACCTGTTCACCTGGATCGCTTGCAACCGATCTCCTTACCCCAAAAGAAAGCTGATAACTGATTTCCTTCACGAAGGCAGAGCTTCTCAAGCAAGAGCTTTAACAGAATTAGTATAAACTAAACTGTGTGGCTGCCTCAGCGGAGGCTGGTGCCCTTTTAGAAAGCAGCGGTAGCGTAACTGTTAGGGGCCATCAGGCCTCTGACATCCCTGTGGAATCTGCCAACTGTGACGTACCTTCCTGACGATTTTGACTTCCCTCCTTCACATATCTCTGCGTTGTCCAACCTGTTCTCCTCCTGCCAGTGACTGCTGAGTTCTTCCATATGCACACCGATCACGTCCCGAATCACCTGGGCATTAAGATGGAGTGAAAACAAGTAACAAACCCAGCAGTAAGTCAGGGTAGTGGCCTGGACAGCAGAAGGTATAAGTCTCCAAAAAGAAAATTCCCCCCAAAAAACAGCATGTTTTGATGGAAAGCCTTACTTGCAGACACAGGGACTTCAGCATAAATTTAACAGCATCATTTTACAACAGACTAAACTATATCTTATTGGTATTTTCACATCCAAAATATAATAGAAATGCTCCTGTTACTTTTAACTTGCTGCAACAAACCAAAACAAGATTCCTCTACAGTTTACAACTCTAATAAAGCAACCAGGTGAAAAAAAAGACTTCTTCCTTGTCTAGAAGGGTTCACCATTGTTTATGCTGACATAAAATACAAACGCTTGGGGAAAAAAAAAAAACAAACCCCACACACCTTTCTCTCCAGATACTAACCTCAGTGTAAGACTTCTTTGTTATATGAACATTCTTAGCCCTGTACGACTGCCGCCGCCTTTTGTAGTCTCGCATTTCGGCCAGAATTTCAAGGTGGGACTTTGGACCTTTCTGACTATCATCTAGCAAAGAAACAGAAGTAAAACAAATGGTCATTAGCAGACATACGTGCCCGCAGGTGTGCAAGCCCGGTGCTTCAGTAGCACGCACTGCGTTCTCTCTGAAATTTCTCTAGCATCTGGCAACTATTATGGACTTAGCACAAGCTTCCTCTCCAACTTTCTGGCTAACTGTTTGCACAAGACTAAGAAGCCACCATGCAAATGCTGTTATGCGATCTCAGCCTCCTGACACTGATCCGCATCACTACACGGGCTCGTGATTTGGTCAGACGCCTACAGAGTACAGGCCTTGTTACAAAGACAGTGTTACAGTAAGACTCAAAGATAGGGAAAGCCAGATTATGTAAAACATACACCTGTGCAGATGACAAACACTACCTCCTGGGCATAGCAGGGCCCAAGGTAACACAGATGCTCATGTTGCACTTGGTACAGTTACAAACTGGCATGACTCAACAGGGGCGAGAGGCCTCGGTCCAATACACCCGCGTGTATATTGCTCAAGAGCTCCATCAGACGACTGCCAACATTTCTTGTTCGGCTTTTACTCTTAAGTGATCTTTAATCTCATCATCTCTTACAGTAAATACTGTTCCAGGCTGCGTGGTAAGTTGGCAGCATTAAGCAACCGCAAGTCGACTGCAGCAAAAACAAAAGACCCATCCGCTAAGATACATGCAGCCCATGTGCCAAGAGCAGAGCACCGGGGCTTTCTCAGAAGGAAAACAGCACAAAGGATAGCAAACCAGTGTTTCCTGATGCCAGGTCTGCGTTGTCGCTTTTAACAGCGGTATACTTTTTGCAATAAAAACAGCGCCAGCAATTCTGTTTGGGTTTCAGCAGAACTCATCTAACTACACAAAGCGAAAGGTCTGAGCCACGAATTGAACAACAGGCCGTTCTCCAAACCTTGGGTGATTTTCGCTGCTAAATCCACAAAGAGGTCACTGTCATTTTCCGTGATCTGGGACTTAGACCTCTGTTTCTTTGTTTCCTCAACAACGTAATCATAGAGAGCAAGGCGATCGGCTTGAGTCAGGTCACAGGTGAAACGCTTGTGATTTTGAGGAACTTCTACAGGCAGCAGCGAGTAAGATCCTGGAGGTTGAATGGACAGCTGTTATTAGTAAAACAGCATAGTTGTACAGGAAAATGCAAACACCCACGCCATTTCCATCCTTCCCCTACGTAGCGGTAAGAAGTTTCACCCTTCTTAATCTGAAAGGATAAAAATCGCTCAAAGAACAAAAAGGCCGCAGGTCCCTCCCCAGCCCCACGGAGGTTGTAAAACCTCTCTTGGCTGCTTACACCGCTAGTCACAGGGTTTCACAGGTTCCGAAGGGAACGCACTACGTTAGATCAAAAGGATGCTCTGTATTACCTCTTCAATTTCAGCTCTGGGCCTACAAGCTGAAGCAAGACAGAAGAGGCTGCAGCTCCAACCTGTGGGTTTGTCTTCCTCCTAACATCTGTAAAGCACTAGCTGCAAAATACCTGTTGTTCTGGCAACAAGAGTGAAAGCTTCTAGGAGACAGGTAACTGGGCACTATGCAAATCAGTCTCACACTGTCACTTCCTCTACAGAGCTTTTCTAACAGAGTGCCGCAGGCATTTATAGCTAAAAGGGCTACAAAGGCACTTTCAAGGTGCTCCAGACTAGTTCAGACAACTAACTCTGAAGTTACGAAACCAAACGCACTGCTCACCATCGGCCCAGCACTCGGTCTTCCCACCCCCCAGTTGAAACACACATCCCACCCCCAAGCAAACAATAAATCTATGCTCAGTCCACTGCAACAGCAGCAGAGTGACTTCCCTAAAGAAGATACAGGATGCAGTGTTCTAGGATACTGCCTGCAGAAAAGCATTACACTCGAGAACATTCAGATTCCCAGCAATGACTGACCTGGCCTCCCTAATCCTGCTCCCCACAATGCAACCTCCTCCCTGCAAGGCATGATCCCACACTGACGTACGTCTCCGGGCAGACAGAGGAGCCAGCGCATAAGACGGAGCGTACGCCGGAGCCTTCACAAGAGCAAAGCTACTGCTTCCCTCATTGTTCAGCACGTAACGGAAACCGGGCAATCTTTCACATCCTGCTTTTGCTAAAGACACCGAGAGGAAGAAGGGCCACAATAACTCTACAACGACAAGCCTGAAATACAAGATTTCCTCCTTACAGTACTTGGAGCCTAAACCAAAACTTTTCTAATCCAAACCAGAATTTAATTTTCAAAAGGCACTGTTCTTCCAGGGTCATGGAAGCTCATAAAAGTGCCCTAATAGTTACATGCTTGTGATTTTACATAGGTTTCACATCTTGTGATTTAAGGCCAAATATCTGGGGCTATTATATAGCTGTTCTAAAGTTCTAATATAGTTAGATATAAAAAAACCCAAACCAAACCAAAAACCAACCAGCCAAACAAAAAGCCAAAGAAAGTTACTTCCTTTGATAACAGTCAGTCAAAAGGAAATTTACGAGGAAAAATGCTTTCCATTTGTTTCTGTTGCCAAAGACTTAAACAATGCCAAGTCAGTAAATCTTAAAATAAGCCAATTTAACGTTATCTTCAGAGAAATGGAAGTTGGCAATGAAAACTGGATCGCGAACGTGGCATCTAGGGGCTCGCTGATGCATTTTTGCAGTGCACCCCCTGATAAAGGGCTTATCTGTTTCTTCTCTACTCGGATGTGCTTGTGTCAGAGGAATGAGTTACCACCACCCTCCAGAGAAAACGCACCCGACGTGCTCCAAACACAGCGCCCATCACCAGAAAGCTCCTTCCCAAGCAACACTCCGTTAAGGCTCCGTTTGCTACGCCGGAGAAACAAAGACAAGGTGAGAAGCTATGCCTGAGCAAGCGCTGCTGTGTGTGACCATCAGGGAAGCAGAACAAATCCACTTTCCCTTCTGCCCGTACATGTCTGACAAACTGTCGTGGTTTAACTCC